CTCCTCCCCCCTCCTCCCACCGCCCTTCCCCTTCCCCAGCATCCAATAGATGTTGTTCTGATATGTGCATTTATGTGTTGGTTAGTTAATACCAATTTGATGGTGAGTACAAATGGGTCCCATTCTGCTGCTCTTGTGGTGCCCCACTTTGGATAATGGGCTTAAGTTTAATCCAGGAAAGTGTAAGAGGTGCTAGATCACTGTCATTTCTTATCCTAGGCAGTCTTTGAACAGGGTGCCCCAGGTCGGGGATTAGGGATGCCCCCCTGGGGTTCTGCTCTGTCCCCCCTCGGCCAGCCTTATGTCGTCGCCTTCTCTCCACAGCATGACTTCAGCCTGGAGAGGAGGGCGCTCTTCTGGGTGGAGGCCGCCGTGTGGGGACCCCGCGCGTACCAGTGCGGGGCCCCGGGGACCGCATCAGCCCCTCCGGCCTGGTTCTTGCTGGTCAGCCCCGAACCCGGGCTGGCGCCTGCGCCTGCCGCAATCAAAGAGCCGGAGGCCGGACCCCAGGAGTGGCCCGAGGAAGAGGAGGAGGACAAGGAGGACGAGGAAGAAGCCTCCTCTGCCAGCGAGGACGAGCCGGGCCCCTGCGACCCCCAGCCCGGCTCCCCGGCGAGCCCGGGCCCCGGCCCTCGCCTGGGCTCGCTGGACGTGCTGCGCGGCCTGAGGTCGGAGCTGGCCGGCGCGCGGCGGCGGCTCTCCGCGGGCCGGCTGCCCGCTCGTCCCCGCGCCCTCCTGCACTGCTTCCGCGGCCGCCGGGCGCTGAGCCTGTGCTCCGGCCCCACGCCGCCCCCGGGACCGGCGCCCCAGCTCCCCGGCGCCTCCGAGCCGGCCCCGCGGCCATGCACGGCCGGCGCCGTGCCCCCGCTGCGGAGCCGCGAGCCCACAGTCGCGGTGAGGACGCCGCCCGCCCTGCTGGGGTCGCCGCTCAGCCGCCGAGGCCCCCGTAATCCGGGTCCCCAGCCCGGTCCGCAGCCTCGTCCCCTCCTGCGCGCGCTCCTCCTTCCTGCCCTTAGCAGCTCCCACCCGGGCCCTGCGGCGCTGGCCTTCCCGCGGCCCTTTGCCCAGATGCTCCCCGTGCAGAGCCCCCATTGCCTCCGTTTCCCGCCGTGGCTGCCTTGCCTTTAGCCTTTATTAGGGCGCCTGTCACAAGGATTGTGATTATCCAGGACCTGTCTGTCTCTTCCACTGGAATTTGAGTTCTTTTAGGGCGGGGATTGGATCGCAGTTCATGTTTGTTCCCAGAGCAGACTCGACCCATAGGGGGCGCTCCAGTCAATGAATGTTGAGTTAATGACGGCGACTGAAATCAGGGGATTCCCGCTGGGTGCGGTTTGCTGCAGGCTGGCGAGCTGGAGGCTCAGTCAAGGAGTGCCCACCGCACAGTCACTTCCTGCCAGACACTGGGCTGGGACAGAAAAGGTCAAAACCCAGGACAAGGAGAGTTGGCCAAGGGGGTGTGGGACAAGGCCCAGCACTGAATAGTGGGGTGGGGTGTTGAGATGGAGGGGCGAGGGCTGCTGCAGGCTGGGAAGGCTTCAGGATGGAGGAGGTGAACCCGCAAGAGCCAGGAGCAGAAATGAAGCCAAAGAAGTTCAAGGCCCCTGACTTTGTCCCTTCCAAGGTCCTGCGTTAACATTACCCAATTTTTTAAATTCATAATTGTCCTTTTTCTTTAAAAGGTCTCTTCCAAATTGTATAAATATCAGACTCCACAAAACCTGGATCCGGAGCAGATGGGGGTGGGTCAGGATCAGTAGCAGAAGGTGGCAGTTGGGCATGGCTTTCTGTCCCCCAGCAGGCCCACAGCCAGGCCAGGAGATGCAGCAGAGTAAGGCCAAGGCGAAATTCTATCCAAAAGACAGAGACTTGAGGGCTGGCTTTTCCTCCTCACTGGTGTGTGAGCCTGGGCAGGCCACCGAGCACCCCCTTCTCTGCCTGTGAGGTGGGCCAGCAGCCCTTCCCACAGTTGTTTAGAGCCAACGTGGTGGAGGAGAAGAGGCTCTGTGAGCTGGACGGGCACTGCCGACATCAAAGACCAGATGTTGATACCGGGAAGGCTCTTCCTGGGTCAGGACTAATTTAACTCAAGCAACAGCTCTGTGGGAGGGATGGGGCAGTATTCTATAGATAGGAAACTGAGGCGGAGGGTGACTAAGAATCCTTTCGAGGATGCAAGGGTAGACTGGCTCCTGAAATTTGGTTATTGTCCACCCTGGAGGTTATGGGCAGAGCCCAGGGCAAGTTCACGGCAGGGAAGCCCCTGAGAAGAGGGGGATGGGTGGGGAATTCATATCTCTCCCATACTCACTCCAGCCCCAGAGCCAGGGCAGCAGCTGGGCTTTCCTTGGGAGGAGGGGACAGGGCGGAATGTTCCGGGCTAGCAGAGGGGGACTCCCCACAGGAGATGGGTTGGCTAAACAAACTGAAATGTCTTCAAGCCACCCTCCTTAATCCAGGGTCTGTTTGGGTGTCTCCAGCATCACAGCTGAGGGGGGTGCCCAGTTCCTACCCTGCTTCATGCCCTGCCAAACCTCAGCCCAGCCAAACTCAAGAAGGAGGGTCTGGCTGGGAAGATCCACCCCTGTTCCCCCCTCACTAAGTTGTGGGGTAAAAAATTCCTGTGAACAGGGTTCAGGTCCCAAGCCCAAGTTGCTTATCAGGTCATTAACTTCTATGAGCCTTCATTTCAATATCTGTAAAATGAGATAATAGGATGGACCTATCATATTTCTTTTGCAGAGTGTTCTAGCAATAGGTGACATGTTAGCATTTGCTGACAGTTTCTGTGTGCCAGGCCCTTGGTAACCCCTTTTCTCACATGGGCTTATTTAAGCCTCATATCAGTCCTGTAAGGTAGCTTCTGTGGTTGCCTTCGTCTTGCAGATGAGTAAACTGAGTAACCAGTGGGGAGCAGGGGCTGCAGGACTCCACGCGCTCCACAGTATCAGCTCCTTACTCTGTAGAAGGGGGTGCACAAAGGCACCTTTTAAAATGTCCAGCCCAGATGGGTGTCACCTCCTGTGGTAACTGACGTGTCCAGCCTGTCTGAATTTCAGTCCCTGAGCCCGTACACCTGCCTGCCGCCTCCTGGGGAGACACCCCAGCCTCTCGACACGTGCAGATCACACCCTGATGCTGCGGCTGACCTGCTGTCCGCCCTGAGCCAGGAGGAGCAAGACCTCATCGGGCCAGTGGTGGCCCTGGGATATCCCCTGCGAAGGGCCATTGTGGCTCTGCAGAAGACAGGGAGGCAGAGCTTGAGCCAGGTGAGTGGGGGACCCGGAGCTGAGGGGCTGTGAAGCTGGAGCCAGGTGAGTGGCCACGTGGTTTTCATCTTTAACGCAAAGTTTCGTTTCCTTCTCTTAGAGGCAGAACTCAGCCTGGCTTTAATCATGGGGGTTTGTAAGTTTCTAGACCCTCATGCTGCCTCCTCCATAGGGTTTTACCAGGAATCCCCATACCCACTTGAGAAGTCTTAGTATTCGACTCCTGTCCTGAACCCTGCCCCAAATACAGGGTGGCTGGAGTTTGGACAGTCAAGAATCTCTCCAGAACTGTCCAATAAAACTTTCTGTAATGAGAGAAATGTTTTCTATCTGTGCTTTCCAAAACAGTGGCCACTAGTCAGGTGTGGTTACTTGGAATGTGGCTAGTGTGATTGAGAAACTGAATTTTAAATTTTATTTAATTGTAATTAATTTAAATTTAAATTCAAATAGCTACATGTGGCTAGTAGCTACCATATTGGATGGTGCAGCTCTAACCACTTCCCTCAACGAATAATTTATTCATACTCACATCTCTCTCTCTCCCTTTTCATTTACACATCCACCCTCTAGTCAAGAGTATTTCTTGGGCACTTCCTGGGGGTTTATATACAGCTAGGAGCTGTTAGGAAAACCAAGGTACATAAAAACTAGTGTTGTGGGCTGGGTTCCCCAGAAAGCAGACTCAGATGGAGTTTGGCATGCAGGATGTTTAGTAAGGAGGCCCTGGGGTCAACTCCTATGGAAGGGAGGGGACCAAGCAGGAGTGGGCAGAGGGAGAAGTTGAGCAGTAACACAGGCCCAGTAACGGCATCAGCCAGCCCCACAGCTCTGGAGCATCTGTGGCCCCTCAGAGTTGTCCTAAGTGGGGCTGAGATGGTCAGACCTTTATACCCCTGCCTCAGTCAGGCATGCATGGGAGAAGTGGATCTCTGCAGTTAAGAAAATCCCCGAAAGGTATCTCCCAGCTCTCAGCATTTGGGGAAATAAGTCCTTCAATGAAGGGGTACCTGGAAGGTACATTATAGAGTCTACCACACCAAGTTCTGTTCTTGAAGAGTTCACTCTATTGGAAGAATGGTGGACACTTATGATGACCTCAGAAGGTAGCACTCCAAGCCACTCTAATGTTTGGAAGCAGACCTTGACCCCCAATATAAGCCAAGAATGTAAGAGCACCTGCAGGGGAGTGAGGACCCCCAAAGTGCCTTTAAAAAGGTGCTAGTGACAAGATGCTGGGAAGCAGAAGGAATATGAGTGCTATAGGGGTGTTTCTGTCATCTATTGCTGTATGACAAACCACCCCAAAACTTAGTGGCGTAATAGAAAAACCATTTGTTTGCTCATGATTCTCTGGATTGGCAATTTTGGGGTTGGCTCAGCTAGGTGGTTCTTCTGCTCATCTCAGCTGGGGTCTCTCATATGGGTACAGTTTGGTAACTCAATTGGGGTTAAATGGTCTAAGATGGCCTTACTCTCAATCCAGTGGTTGGTGACACTTGTCAGGTGGGTCACTTATCTCCAGCAAGCTAGCCCACTTAGTTCCAAGCATGCAAGAGTGAAAGGTGCAAGGCCTCTTGAGGCCTAGGCTGAAACTGTACATAGTCACTTCTGCCTTATTCTGTTGGTCAAAGCACGTCTTAGACCATCCCACAGTTATTTATTTTTTCAAGACACAAGACCTTGTTGTGTTGCCCGGGCTGGTGTTGAACTCATGGGCTCCAGTGAACTTCCCACCTCAGCCTCCCAAGTAGCTGGGATTACACGGGTCACCACCATACTCACTCACTTGGCTTCCAGATTTAAAGGCTGGAAAAACAGACTCCACCTCTTGATGGGAGGGAATTCAAAGAATTTATGACCAGTCTCAATTTACCACAAGGAGGCTCCAGTGATCAAGAAAGGCTTCATTAAACACATTCCCGCAGCTGGAAAAAAGAATAGAAAGGCCTCTTGGAAGTGGCAAGCCTTGAGCTGAACTTCAAGAATAGATAAGATCTGACTTTGAAGGAAGGAGAAGAGATGACATTCCAGGCAGGAGGGACAGGGTGAACAAAGGAAGGAAGTGCTTGGGAGGCCCCAGTCCTTAGTCTTGCTGGAGGAGAAGGTGCACGAGGCGGGCTGGGAGGAATAAGATAAGGGGAATTGGGGACAGACCAGGGTGCCTTGCGGGCTGGGCTGAGAAGTCAATAAATGACCCAGCAGGCAAAAGGGAGGCATGGAAGGACTGCCTGTAAGCAGGGTCAGGAGGTGACATTGAATGCCATTGCCTGCACTCCCCTCCCTCCACCCGAATGAAATGTTCTGCTTTGTGCTGTTTTCTTTTTATTTATTTTTATTTCAGCATATTATGGGGGTACAAATGTTTAGGTTACGTATATTGCCTTTGCCCGACCCGAGTCAGAGCTTCAAGCGTGTCCGTCCCCCAGACGGTGCACACTGCACCCATTAGGTGCCTCAGCAGAAGGATTGGCCTGGCTAATTTTTAAATTTTTTGTAGAGATGGGGTTCTCACTATCCCCCAGGCTGGTCTCGAACTTCTGGCCTCAAGCGATCCTCCCACCTCAGCCTCCCAGAGTGCTGGGGTTACAGGTGTGAGCCACCATGCCTGGCTGGTTGCTGCTATTATACTTTCCTGACCACTTTGCAGATGAGGAAACTGAGGCCAGGGAGGTTCATACAGCCAGTCAATGGCAGCACTAGGGTTCAGGCCAGGCTGGCCCAACTCCGAATCTTGGTTGCACGGTGCTTTTTCTCTCATTTTCTGTCTGAGAACCTCCTGTGACAGCATTCCAAACTGATAGGAGATTTAAGAGCAGATCTAAAGTCACCCTACCTTACCATGCCGCTGAAAAGCCAGGGCCTTGGCCAGGAAGCTGGCCAGGAGGGCTGTGAGGGGCCAGGTGCACAGTGGGGCTCTGACATGTCTCTCCAGTCCCTCCAGGCCCTGTGACAAGGCTGAGGTCTCAGGCCATTGTGGTGGAGATCTGAAGATCAGTCAGAGCCAGCACAGGACCCTGGGCTCCCAGTGGGTGGGCTGGAAGGATTTCCCTGCATTGGGAACACTGTGTTTCCAGATATAGCCCGGCCACCTGCCTGGCCCCCGGATCTCTGGGTGGCCTTCCTCCCCAGTGGGCAGTTGGGTGCCAGGCCCCAAGGAGTGGGCCCGTGGGGCCTTTGGATGACTTCATCTATCCTCCCCCACCAAATAAGTTTTTCTTTCCATTCTATGAAGTTCTATTAACTTAGAAACTCTTTTGGGTTCAGATTCCTTTTCCCATTGAAAGACACACACTGCAGTAAATCCTTTTTGGCCAAGATAAACAACAGATGGCCCAGGAGGGAGGACATCAGGTGATGGAGACAGGGCGCTTAGAGTCTGGGAGAGGAAAGAGACACAGAAGAGAAGCTTTGTCCATCACTCCTTCCTGCCTGCCACAAGGCTGGCTAAGCAGCAGAATCTTTACAAATGTGGACTCCCAGGCCCCATCCTGAGGGTCCCAGACGGTGGATCTGAGGTGGGCCCAGGGGCCTGTAATTTTAAAAGATCTGCAGATGGTTCTGACATCCAGCCCAGCATGGCTCGAGGTCAGCTGTCCCTGGTCAGTGATTTTTAGCCTTGGGTGCACACTAGAATCACCGGGAGAGCTATAAAAATCCCCACGCTCAGGCTGCCCCCAGACCAATTATATCACAACCTTGGAGGTGAGGCCCAGGATCAGTAGTTTTAAAACTCCAGAGGCGGCTGCAGTGAGCACTGAGGCTGCGAGTGGGTGAATCACAAGGTGAAGGGAACATCCACTATCTGCCCTTCCCGCCCTCCTTCTGAAGGGGAAGGTTTTCCCGTAGAAAACTCTGTCCTCTAGCGCCGGCTCAAAGCCCTCCTCTCACAGTCGATGCCTCTGATGGACAAGGCATTGACTAAGAGGTTGGGCAGGTGATCTGGGCCTTAGTCCGGGGACCCTGGGCAAGCCACCTGCCCTGCCTGAACCTCAGCTTCCTCAACTGTGAAAGGAGGGCTTGGGTGAGTGGTTTTCAGAATGTCCTCAGAGCAAGGTCCAGGTGCTATGGGCCTTGTCAGGTGCTCCGGGCAGGACCACCAGACTCCAGGCTCCCATGCCCCCCGGCCCCAGTTCTCCCAAAGCAGCTCTGATCTTATCCTGTTATTATTGAAGCTTCCTTGAGCTTGGACAAACAGTTTAGGAGCTAAACAGTTTGAAAACTATTAGTCTAGATGATCCATGTTTTCAGCCCAGCTCTGAAGGTCTGCTGTTCCTTCTGCACGCACGTCCATAATTCTTACCGTCTGGAGCCTTCGCTTGGCACCCACTCCCCATAAATCCTGCTCTGATGTGCCTGGCACTGATGTTGTCCCGTATCTGGTTTATCTCCCCCACTACGCTGTGAGTTCCCTGATGTAGTTCTTCCTTCATTTTATAAACACAGCATGCATTTATTGAGCTGCTTCTGCCCGCCATGCTGGGCGCTGGAGACAGTGGTGAGCAAGACACGACCCCTCCCTCGTGGGGGGAGAAGTTGGGGGGTGGGAAAGACTAGAAAGCTCAAGGGAAGCAATTACGAAGCGAGACGAGCTGTGCAGGGGAAGCACAGAGGACGAGGACTGAGGGGCAGGGAAGGGGCCTTGCCTGAGGGGGCCGCATACGCAGACGCCTGGTGGGGGCGGGGGGGACTGAGACTGTGGGCAGGTGAGCAGGCCTTGGGGCCCCCGAAAGGAGGCAGCTCATTATCCTGAGGGTAAAGTAGCCCCTGATGACTTCAACAGGTTTCAGGCCTGCACCCCTTTCCTGCACTGGGACAGGACTGCTGCGTAGCGGGGGCTCGCGGAGGCCCAGATGACAGAGCTGTGTCTGGGGGGTGGGGTGGGATGCACGAGTGTGGTTGGGAGAACAGGCCAGGGCGAGTGGGTGGTGCAGGTGTGTACAAATACCTGGGGTGGCAGGTGAGACACCTTTGTTTAAAGCCTGTCCTGCTCCGCACTTAGGCTCTGCGAACTCCCTAGCCCACTCTGACAGTCCTGTTCCTGGATTCCAGCCCCCAGCTTGCAACAGTTGGTGAGGACCCACTGTCCACCCGTCCCCAGATTGTCAGAAGAGGCCTCTGTTCCTCTTCTGTTGGTTGCATGAGGTGGGCTGCCCAGCGAGCCTGGCCCTGAGCCCAGGCCCTGGAGCGCCCGCCCGCCCGCACCCCTCTCACCAGCCCTTCCCCTCTGCCCCTTCCCGCCCAGTTTCTCGGCTACCTCAGCGCCTGTGACCGGCTGCTGCGGCAGGGCTACGAGGAAGGCCTGGTGGAGGAGGCCATGGAGATGTTCCAGTTCTCCGAGAGCCAGGTCAGCAGGGCCTCCTGCCAGGGCCCCAGGGGTTGGGAGGGCTGAGGGTGCAGCACGACCCTGGTGGCAGAGCCAGCCTGGGGGCCCCTCGGGAGAAGGCCTGCCTGCCCTGCCCTGGGGGGAAGGAGCCGGCCAGGGAGCTGAAGCATGGGTGAGGGCGGGAGGATCAGAGGAAGCACTGGAAGAGGTGGAGGAGAGATAGGAGGTAGCACGGAGCGTGGGCTTTGTTTTATTGAACTGCATCAACACGGCAGGTATTACTGAACGCCGGTCTTTGTCAGACACCCAGATAGGAGCCACGGGCAGCGCAAAGATGCTAGAACTCTACACGGGGAGTTTGCTGCCCACCCAGAATGCAGGCAGGTGTGTGCCCAACAGTAAATTCTAAGTGCGCGATAGATGCTTGGAATCCTGTCTACAACTGGCAGAGAGATCTTCACAGAGGCTGAGGGGACAGAGGAGTGGGCAACATGCCCAGGAGGAAAGAGGGAGGAGAGGCGAAGTTTCAGGCTCCGGAGTCAGAGGAGGAAGGCAGGCAGAGGCTGCGCTGTGGGACCCCGGCAGTGTTTGGGGCACAGAGCCCCCGGGCTGTGCATGCTCTGGACACCAGTGTGCCGCCTGCCTCTTTCTGCCCCAGCACCAGAGCACAGCGCCCAGCGGGAGGGCTGGCAGTCCAGCTGGGACAGAGCCCGTGGCCAGGCTGGGCTTCTTTCCTTTTAAAAGTAAGGTGCTCCCCAGGATCATGCCACCTGGCCTGGGGGGACCACAGCTTTTGGGACTAGGCACAGCAGGCACTGGGATGGGGGCTCCCCAGGGCTGAGGCCAGGCCTCGCAGAGCCCCCAGCGCCCTCCCTGCCTCCTCTTCCCCAGGCAGGGGAGTTCCTGCGCCTCTGGGAACAGTTCAGCGACATGGGCTTCCAGCAGGACCGGATCAAGGAGGTGCTGCTGGTCCATGGCAACCGCCGAGAGCAAGCCCTGGAGGAGCTGGTGGCCTGTGCGCAGTGACCGCTGGGCACTCCCCAATGCCCAGGCACCCCCGTCCAGGGCCAGAACTGGCAATCCATCCTAACTGTATTATTAAACCAAGTAAGAATAACAAAGCGATGCATGTTACTCAGTATGAAAACGCAAACAACGCCAAGGGGGAGTAAACACCAAAAGAATCAGCTGGAAAGAGTTGAAGGTGTTGCCTCTGGGGAGGGCAGATGGGAGAGCAGGGCAAGGAACTGTGGTTTTCATACAAGCCTTGTAAAACTACCTGTATTTGACTCTTAAACTGCATGCATTAGTAACTCTGATGTTAAGAAAATTAAAATAACTAAATGATGGATAGCTCTCCTGAGTCCTGCTGAATTCTAGTCTTGGTGTGGAAAGGACATCGAACTGCAGGTCAGAAGACCTGATTTCTGATTTTATGTCTGCTCATGTCTGGCTCAAGGCCTCTTTGGGCCTCAGTTTCCCCAGGAAAAGTACTGAGATTTGACCAGGTCAAAAGTTTGCAGACCTGGCTGCTATCCTTCATAGTCCCTGGGGAGTTGGTTAAAGAATCCCCGGCCCCAGCCCTGCATGTTCTGATTCAGAAAGCTCAGCTTGGCAGCCCCCAGGATCTGTTTTGTTTCATGCAGGAAGCTCTCTGGGGATTCTTTATAATGTAACAGGCCCATGGCCAGCGTGTGTGACCCTCAGGACCAGCCAGTCTGGGTCCCCTTCTGTTCTGACAATCTGTGGTCCTATGTCAGTCTTTCCTCCTTTCAGGGGTAGGGAGGTGGGGACCAGAGTTGTCTCCAGTCACCCCAGGCCTATCCTTTAGAGGCCCCCAAGGATTGAAGTGACCAGTTTCCGGAGGCCTGGTGGACTCAGGCAAGCAGAGGTCAGAGCCCAAGACACTGAAGCCCCTGCCCTCCCGGCTGGCCCTCTGCAAGGACCTGTGGCAATTGATACAGAATCAACACCTCTCGGCCCCTCCACCCTGCAAACAGGGCTGGACCTGGAGCTCAGGCCTGTGAAAAAACAAACAAAACTTCCACATTTCTCAGGGCTTCAACCTCGCTAAGCCTCAATGCCTGCCAACTTGAAATCACATTAAAAATATTCTTTGGCCTTAAAATTTGCTTTGAATAACTTGCAGGCAATGCAAAACTATTTGAGAAAACAGGCAAGATGGCATAAAGCTGGTCATGTGTCTGTTGCCAAAAATAAAACTACCCCTGGAAAAGACAGCAACATTAAAGTTTAATTCCTAAGATGCAATGTTAAGTCCTCAGCCATTATGTTTATGATTAAGGCAATCTGGCCTCAGTTGGCCACTTTATTAAGTCCTCCTGATTAGAGGCGACCATTTGGCAGGCCCTCACCCACCCGTTACTCCCATCCTTCTCCCACCTTCAAACCTTTCCATTTTTAGAAAATTATTGCTTGAAAATGAGAAGATGGGAAAATTAGTTTAAAATATTTTTTATGAGGCAGAATGGTGTGGTAGAGGCATGGACTCTGAAATCAGATCTGAGCTGAAACTGCAGCCTTACCACTAGCTAGCTGTGTGACTTTTTGAAAGTCACATAACCTATCTGTGCCTCAGTTTCTTATCTCTAAAACCCAGATGCTGAAACTTTCCAACTGTGATGATTGAGCGGGATGGCACACAGGAAGCCTGTAGCATGGTATCTAGTCACTATTTACTTATTTATCCATATCTATATCCTTCCCCATCCCATAACCACTACTGCCTTTACTCTCATCATCCTCGTCGTTATGGTCAACAAATCTCCGGCATTTATAATCCAACTTGGAAAACCTGGGAGAACCTCTCCACCCGTGACTCAGCCTCTCTGGTCGGCAGGGTTCACGAAAGTGGCTGGATAGGAAGATTCTGGAAGTGCCACCTGGGAGAAGGGCAATCTCTACAGCTAATATCAAAGGTCAGGTGGCTGCCTTGGTGGTTTCCTGAAATAGCAGCAGATGACACACTTAAGTGACCTGAAGGCGTGGTCTGGACAAGGTGGCCCCTGGAGAGGAGGCCAGGAGGACAGTGGCGTGTCCCAGCTCCAGGCAGCACACCGAGGCCTGGCCCAAGTGTGCAGGATGAAGAAAAAATCCTGTCTCGGTTCTTACTCTCCCTTCTGACTGCTATGCTCTGTCTCTTCTTCCGTGTCCCCATCATGTTCCCTCAGAGGCCAGTGCCAGCAGGTTGACAAAGGCCTCCCGACTGACAGCAGGGATGTCTCCTAAGCCATTTCAGGCTGAGACCACCAGTTCTTTGTGTGTTCCCTTCCCAGGGAATGTGCCATTGCCCTTGGTCTAGTTGACCCTCCACCTCCGTCTTAGAAGGACCCTCGTGATTACATTGTGCTCACCTGGATAATCCAGGCTAATCCCCCATCTTGAGATCCTTAATTACACCTGCAAAGTCCTTTTTATCAGAGAAGGTAACATATTCACAGGTTTGAGGGATTAGGATGTGGACGTCTCTTGTGGGCCACTAGGCAGCCTACCAAAAGAGAGGCACTGCTTAACCCAAAATAATACACGACTACTGGCAGAATTTCAGGCAATCACATAAGGGAGTCTTGTTGTGTCTTATATTTGTATTATACAGCGGACATTTCTATTTTAGGACAGAAGGACAGCAGAGCAGGCCTCCCGTGTGGCCCTCTGAGCTTCTACTCTAATAGCTGTGGTGCAGGTGGGGCAGCCCCTCCCTGAGTCAGGGCCTCAGGCACGGCTGGGCCCTCGGTGGCCGGTGGCCGGCTCAAGCAGACACAGCTGGCACACTCCTCTCTCTCCTCTGGCAGGAGCCTCGGCTGCTCTTGCTTCGCTTTGACTTGACCTTGTGCAGCTGACAGCAATCTCCCGGCATGGGGAGCAGGGCCGGCTGAGGGGCTGCCAGAGGCTCCTCTCAGCCTGACCCTTCCACTCTGGGCATGGAGGAGGGGGACACACTCTCAGGTCACAGCTGGCCTCCGATGATTACCTGGAGAAGTCAGGAGCCCCTTCCCTGTCCGGGACCCTCCTCCCCTGTCAGCCTCCCCCAACCCCAGTCTGACCTCCAGCTGCCTTGTCCTGTCCTCTCTGGAGATTGAAGAATTCCTTTGTTGACCTCTGCAGAGAAACCTTTGCCTTCTTTTTCTTTCAAGACAGGGTCTTGCTCTGTTGCCCAGGCTGGAACACCGTGGCTCCATCATAGCTCACAGCAACCTCAAACTCCTGGGCTCAAGTGATCCTCCTGCCTCAGCCTCCTGAGTAGCTGGGACTATAGGCGCATACCACCACACCCAGCTAATTTTTAAAAAAAATTTTTTTTTAGAGACAGGGTCTTGCTATGTGGCTCAGGCTGGTCTCGAGCTCCTGGCCTTAAGCGATCCTCCTGCCTCATCCTCCCACAGTGCTAAGATTACAGGCGTGAGCCCCATTGCCTTTTAAAAGAGGACTTGGGGAGAAGGCAATGCCCACTTCAGAATAATGGCTCATAAGTGACAGGGTTTCAGGCACAGCAAAAGCTGGTGAAGGGAAGCGGTGACCATCCATTGTCTCTGCATCAGACCCACTGAGAGGAGGACTTGGGGCTTCAGGGAGCTCAGGGAAGAATCTTTCCAAATGAGGGCTTGGGGAAGGCTTCCAGAGCCCCTCTTTGGTACAGGACCTCCTGGTGCAGCCCCCCTGCCCCGTCTTGATCCCCAGGGCCAGGCCCTTGTTCCTAGAAAACCTTAAACAACCAGGACTCTCCCAGAAACTCCCTCTCTGTCACACACAGTCTTCGGTGGGAGTGAAACCCTGCCACTGGCACTATGTGGAGGAAGTTTGGGGTATGTGTGCCTACATACTGGGGACAAAGGTGACAAAAGTGATCAGGACAAAGGTGATCCTGAGCAGGGCAAAAACTGGTCACTTAGCTCTACTCAAGGGCAGTGCCCACTCAACCACCAAGTCCTTTGTTAAGCACCTGCTCAGCTTGCGCTGGTCCCGCTGAGAAGACGCTGTCCTGAGTTCCAGGTGCTGCAGCCCAGTTGATGAGCCAAAACTACCACCAAAGAGCCATTCATCTGCTGCTTCTGTCGCCCTGCAAACCTTTATTGCACCCCAGCAGTGGGGAAGGTGGGATGGAGCACAGGAAACGCCTCCGCCCTGGAGGGAGCTGAGAGCAGGTCGGTGCCTGTGCTGGGGACGCGGTGGAGGCGGAGGGACAGGCAGGCTTTGGCCCAGTGAGGGCCTCTGGAGGTTTCTCCTCTGCCAACACCCCCATGGAATGGGGTCCGAGCCAGGCACCCCTGCGGGCTCCACACCCAGCCCAGTGGTGGGGCACCCGCCCCCAGCCCAGCCTCGCACTCCCCTGGTGGGTGGCCCTCCCTCCTGCCCATTCTCCTCCTGAACCTGTCCTTATAAGGCCACCCACTCAGGAGACGTGCGCGTTCTGTGTCCTCTGGGTAGCTGCCCACACAACGTCATCTGCTGTTTTACAGCTCGAGATTTTTAACCTATGATTTTATTTTGTCGTCAAGAAAATATTTCCAGGTTGAGCAGAGACATTAACTGGGTACCAGACGAGGACAGAAGGATGGAAGCCAGGGGGCTGGGGACAGCCCCAAGGCATGGCTTAACCACAGGTTCTAAACACCCCCAGCAGCCAAACAATTTCAAGAACTTCAGCAGGCCCTGGGCTGCCCATTTCCCCCTGTTCTTAAGTGACACCCTGTGTCCTTGTTCTTAGGGGAATTACCCCTCCCCCTGCCATGGGCCATCTTAGTGTGTTGTTCGTCCAAGCGCCTTGTCCTCTCCCGGCACATGTCACCCACACAGGGTCAGTCCGACTCAGGCCTGGAACCCTGGAGTCCCGAGCACACTCATTCTGCTGTGGCCTCAGTGGGGCTGTGAAGAGCTCCTGCCGCTGGGGCCCCTCGCAGCTGCTCAGTCCTGTCCCTTTCCAGCCAGGTGCTCTGGCCTCCCCAAGGCCTTCCAGTAAGATCCCGCTCTCCTAAACTTCGCCAAGGGAGCTTTCCCTCGCTGACAGCCAAGGCACAGGCACCCCGCTGCATGCTCTGAGGGCACCAGCGAAGGCAGCGGCCAAACGGGTCGGAGTGTGTCCTGACTCCCTGCGAACCCAGAG